ATTCAAATTGTAATGAAATAACAAGCCTGATTAAGGGTTTGCTATAACTGTAGTGATTTAAGATTAGGCACGCGACTGCTTTTCAAAATAATAACTTTAATAGCTGGTTTCTGGCGAATATTAGCTATCCCTGGCACTAACATGTGCATGAATGATTCTTGTACCAGTTGGAAGGAAAACTATGGGTTAAATTAAAACCCTAAGAAATTTCACCGTTTTCTCTTTTATAAACCAATAGACGTATCGCAGCTTTACTTCTTCCTTTCATATTCTAAACAGTAGACAATAGTTAAGTATTAAAAACATCGATGTTTCATTATAATTCTAGTATTTTCACAACTCCCAGTACAAGACTGAACCAGTGCTGGGGGTAAAATGAACAATGGGCACACTGTCCATTTTACGCCCTTAAACATCAATTGTTTTCAATCGCTTATTTAAAACAAATAATTATTGAAACTACTTTCAATCTTCGATAAATCCTCAAATAAAAAAAAACTAATGGATAGAATTTAAAAAGCTTATGCAGTGCTCGCAGAAGTCAGTATCACAGCCAGAACCGTGCAGTGCATTTGTTTTTTTTTCGTTTACATTTCTTATTTAACAGTTCCTGATAAATCTAAGATGTTTTGAACAGCTTTAAATACTCTTCGAATAGGGGGCTGTAGATAAGGAACTGTATTTACATTTTTTGCCGTGATAACGCCACTTGTTAATTTTACACCTGGGTTCCAGTTCCAGAACAAATAGGGTAAAAATAAAAATTCATGACTCGACCATCAACAAGCTGCATGAAACTTTGCATAATTATGTGTTGGTGGAAAAATTGCATCTCGCCAAAAATTTGGAGGTGCAAATTCAACTGAAAATTTCTGGTGGAAAGTTTGCAACACTGTGGTAAATGTAGAAGTAAGGTTTATTCATTATTCATCGTTCTGATGAATGCAAGCTTCATTGAAAATTTATAGTGGAAAATTTGCACCATTCTGGTGCATGAAGAGGCAAAGCCTGAAAATTGCACCACAAAGGTGTATGGTGAAACAAACTTCACTGACAATTTTTGGTGCACCGTTCTGGTGAATGGAGGGGCATGCTATATTGAAAATTTCTGGTGCAAAATTTGCATCGCTCTGATAAATGAAATGAACAGAAAATTTCTGGTGGAAAACTTGCACGGGTAAATGAAGGCACAAGCTTTATTTAAAATAAAGCTTCATTGAAAATTTCAGGTGGAAAGTCTGCACCATTCTGGTGAACTGATGGGCAAGTTTTTCGAAAAATTTAGGGTCTTAAATTTGCATATTTCTGCTGAATAGAGAAACCATTTTTTATAATAACTTTTTGTGTAAAATTTGCATCATTCTGATGATTGGAGGGAAGCTGAATTACTGAACATTTATAATGAAAAATCAGAAAATAGGGGCAAGCTTTATTTGGTGGAAAACCTGCAACATTCTGATGATAGGAGAAGCAAGCTATATTGAAAATGTATATTGGAAATTGGGAACAGGAAATCTGCACTAATCAGAAGATTGGAGAAGCAATTTTTATTGAACATTAACGGTGGAAAATTTGCATCGTTCCTTTCAATTGAAATTTTCTTTGTGCAAGTTTGTGTTGAAAATGTCTGGTGTAAGATTTGCAACCATCTACTGCATGGAGGGGCAAGCTGAATTCCCTATGTAAAAATTGCACAGTTCTGGTAAATGGAGGGGCAAGCTTTATTGAACATTTCTGGTAGAAAAAACTACAACGATTTGGTTAATGGACGGACAACATAAACTTCACTATTGAACATTCTTGCAAAAAAATATTTTTTTCAAATCTTGTATTTTTTTTTTAAATAATTTGTAGCACTAAAACACCGCTTCTGATCGAACATCAAATTTTGGCATATATTTTAACTTCTTGTTGACTATCTTTTTTATGTAATTTGTGCACAGATAGAATGTCTGAAATGTTGTTTCCTGTGTAGAAATTACATACAAATTTGTGAATTGACAAATTATGTATCTTCACGAAGTTTGTAACGGATTATTTTGTATGGATAGCTGTCATAACGACTTTTTAATAATTATTGTAGCACTGAAAACACTATTTTGTTCACCACGATGGTGATGATGACAACAACAACAATAACATTTGATAAAGGAAATGGGACATTGAAGCTTATTTCGAAGATGCAATGAATTAGTAGTAAGTTTTCTGGCTAAATTTCAGGGGTTCTTGAGCATTCCTGATGTTGCTGATAATTACGATAGCATCAGATAGCGGGGTTGTTAGTGTGTTAGAATGTTTTGTTGATTATTAAGGGGAAGCTTACCGGCCAAAAAAAAAATATTTTCTGTACGTTTTTATTTTTCTAAAAGTATTGTGAAAAATTATCAAAAATCCAAGAAAATTAGTTTCTTCCTTAGATTTTTGCCAAAAATTAAATGTAAAAATATTTTTTTCTATCTCACCATGAAAAAATTGGACTCTCAGAAAAACCGAAAAGTCGATGTTTTGTGGTTTTGTGAGTCCAACTTTATGCCATAATGACTTATGAAAAATGTTTTTGCACGTGTATTTTTTTTTAAATTAGAAACATTGTGATTTTTTTAGATTTTTGATACCTTTTTTTTCAATATTTTTAGAAAAATCAAAACGTAATTATTATTTTTCAGAGCGGTGAACTTTCCCTTAATGAACTCTTGACCGCTGGGAATATTATATTGGTTTTGTTATACTCCTCTACTCGGGAAGCATGTTTTGTTGCCAAAATAGGGATGTTGAAAAAATCGGGAATATATTGGGAGGTTTTTTTTCGCTGCATAATATTAGTCATCATTATGAATATGCTTATACATCACTCATTAACTACACCACTTCTATCAAAAGTGATATGAAGGTTTAACCAATACCATTGCCATTGATAAGTTATGAGTGATTTGTATTTAAAAATATGCAAACATTGAATGTTAATATTCGAAGACCGGGAAAACACACAATTTGTCTTAATTCCCCCCTTAAGTAATAATTTTTTTTTATCGATTTTCTATATTTTACTTTAAAATTAAAAAAAAATCTACGCTCACGAGGAAGGAGTGATCTATGGCCCCAGTATTGCCGATTAACCGTTAGTTTCAGAAATCATGTTTTTACACAACCCAAAACATTAAATGCATTTTTATCGAAACGGTGTTTTCCAAATTGGCGGGAAAGATAACTCAAAAAGTTCTCATTCAAATGACTTGAAACCTGGCGTATTTTAAAGGAAATAGATTTTTACTCTATGTGAATCACTGATATCATGAAAAAATAACAAAAATTAATTTTCAGGTCTGCCTAATGTGGAAAAAACAGTGAAAAATCATATTTTTTTCAGATATTTTTTTCTAAATTTTTAAATCGTTTTTTTGGGTTTAATAGGTTTACATAGAACAAAAATCTTTTCTGAATAAGGTCCAATTGATAAAAGTAAGTTTTGTCAATTTTTCAGGTCTCTAGAATGCTTCCGATGAAAAAAATCTCAAATGTAGAGGAAGATTTAAGCAATTTGATGCAAAAAACCCCAAACGTTTGCGTTGTTTCATTTGCTCACAAAAAATTCCGAAAATCGTCGAGTTTTTGACGTGTTACTTGTATTTCCCCCCTTATGGTGGCGTCTGAAAAACCACACAAAAGCAAGATATGAAGTTAAATTTGACTTAAACTTTGTTTTGGTAATAATATTAAGTTAACTTTAAAATTAAATTACTCAAAAATTAAACACATTTATCAATTGTATTATTGGAAGACTGATAATGTTTTGGCCAATTTTCCGGGGCTAGTAATTGATTTGCAATAAGATTCTATGGTGCTCTATGGGAGACTAGTATCTTTAATTTTGAGTTAGGTATGTCAAATTTGGTCCAGTGATATCTGACAAACTGATCTTACAAATTTGTGTTACCCACACAAGTAGCTAAATGTGAAACCTATATGGCATTTTCAATCAGACTTAACTAATGTTTGACTTTTCAGAAAAATAAAGTTAGTAAAAGAAGTTTTTTCCATACTCGCAATCAAATCATGTTTCAATAAAAATATAGTTTAAGAATATTTTGAAAATTACTTCTTTAAACTCATCAAAGTGAAAGTGATATAATAGCAGTGGAATTCAAAGGAAAAACAACGTCTCTAGAGTTATCTCATTAGTCTTCTATTATTATCTCGTACGGTCTACGAAGTCTGGATTCAAGAAGCTGAGATCTCTTAAGTAAAGCTTGAGGCCTCCAGAGTTGAATAATAGGATCTCCAGGCTTAATTCGTAAGATCGTTCAAGTTGATTCATAAGACTTCTAATGTTTCCAAAAGGGCTTTGGAGTACATATACTTGGCATTGATTCATAAGATCTCTAGACATATACTGTTATGTCTCTGAAGTAGCCTTGCAAGGCATTCAAATTCAACCTATAGCACCTCCAATGCTATGCATAAAAGCTCTCTGAAGTTGACCTAAGAAGTATCTGTAGTTGATTCGTAGTTTCAGAAACGATACTTGATGGCTAAGATCAAGTAGAGAGATATGTTGCGAAAATTATGCCTACCGGTGGAAATAGAACCCACAACTCCCAGAACGCTGGACAGGCGCTCTACCACTACAGTTGATTTATAAGACATCTAGACATACCAGCATAACTATTGCTTATTGCTTTCCTCTTGAGAGGCGCGAACACCTCTTAACTGCTTTACGATCATTTCCGTATGGTCAAACTGTTCGTTTCCTAATAGCTTCTTCAACCAATATGTTGAAAACTAAGTTCACCACAGCATCTTTAATCAGACTTCGTTAATGTTTGACTTTGTTTAGTAACAAAGTTAACAAGCTGACACATATTTTTTCAGAATAATTATTTGGAAATATTGTTGAAAGTTACTGCTTTGTTTTCATTGTAGTTACGATTGCATTACGACTTTTATTTATGAGGCTTAAACACTCTCATTCATTCTCTATGAACCCCTTTTAACCCAAAAAATCATGATCTGTTTGATTTTAAATGTTGTTGCCAAAATCGGGAAGAATTTTTTTTTGCCAAAAACGGTTATTTCTAAGGCACTGTATTGATAAAGGGAAAAATTATTTGTTTTCCGTCGATCTTATTTTCCGTACTGCCACCGACACTAAGGAGGCAGCTCTCACACCTGGACCCTACCTATCGACTGATCATCTCAAGGACCAGGGAACATCAGCTTTACTTCCCAACTGGGATTGAACCCAGACCCTTTGAAGTGAGAGGCAGTTACAAATCATTAAAAAAAAAAAAACTGACTATTTGCAGATACACAAAGTTAAGGAGATTTTTCGTACAGAACTGTTGCTTCAATAATATTAATGTTTATTATGTCAATAGAAGTTTCTCGGTGGATGATCACAAAGACGTTCATCCGATTCTGGCGTTATTTGTTTGGAAGTAATTGTGTTCACTATGTGTCCGATAATGATCGGAATCAACCCATTTCGATCAAAAACAACAAACACAAACGGTCTGTGGGCTGTGAATTCGTTTCCCCTTCTTCTATCATGGTAAGGTTTAGCTGAAATGAAAGTACCATAACTCCATGTAAAACTTCAACATCCGAAATAAAACCTGCGACTCAAAAAATACCTCTTAGTTCACCCTTCGAACTCATAACGATTTCCACCTTCTGAATGATATCTCCCAACGAAACTGACTTTTTCTGATCAATCACATGAAATACAGTTTCATTGAATGGCACATTCAATCCCATCCACCGGAGCAAGTGTTTGGCCGCAAGTTTCGCCCTCAGCTTAAACTGGGGAAGTCGAACCGTCGTTTTGGAAGCCGTCATATTTGAATAGATCTCCTGAAACCTTTCGTGATTCAAACTATTGATCATAACTTCAATGTTCGCCCCAACTGGCATCATCAATACGCAGGAGAATTGACTTTTGTCGTGGAATGGTAATTCTACGGCTTCCGTGTTCCATTTCGGGAAGTATCCATACTTCAATGTTTCCTCCAAGTACATAAACCTCATCAAACCTTTCTCACTCTTGCGAGGGTAGAAATTACAGGTTGTTGTGCCCTCTTCATCAAATTCATACTTCCAAAGACCTTCAAACTTCCAGGAATCTGCAACGAAAAAGTCCCATTCCTGGTCAATATCAGACCCGTTGAAGAATCCCTCCACCAAATTGTTGGATATGTTCTTCATGGCAGCGTTCATTATGCGTCCCATTTGCTTGGAACTGCCTGCTTGGAGGGATCTAATGTACATCGCGCAAGTACTGGGAAGATTTTTAAAAGCCGGGGACATCTTTGCCCGTCCAATTATCGTCGCTACCGTTGTGACATTGAGAGCTGTTTCCTGTTGATATGCTCTCCACTGGACTGCGTACCGTCGACGGATCAGATCAGACAGTTGGTTTTGCTGTTTGAGCAGCAGTACTTTGTTGAACTCTTTGTTGAGGGCTGAAGTGGTTGCATCGCTAGGGATGGTCAACTCTTGGATGCAGGAGAATATTTTCCGAAGGGAGTACGGTGATATGACCGTGTTTTGTTTGAATCCGGAGAATAGCTGCAAATGGATAGGTTTTTGAAAATGGTTGGAACAGTGTTGCATGATTCAATGATTACCTTTTTGTACAGTTCCCATGAGAAGTCCGCTTGATAGTTTACTTTCAACGTTTTGAAGGCATATTGCGCTTGCATGAAGCCCACCAGCTTAAAGGTGACAGTAATCACAATCCACAATTTCATCCTGGTCTGATGGTCTGTGGAACTGTGAACAATGTTTTGTAGAAGCGAAGCACAGGGAAATGGCATGGAGTAAGGGAAGCGTAAATGTTTGTACATTTGAGCAAATGAATCAATTGTCATTGATTAATGTGCCTGGAAAAGCTGCTTGACAATGATTTATTTTCTGTTATTAAGGTGATTCCTTGTAGAGTCCACAAATGGCCGCCACATAGGCTATACATGCACTTCCACTTAGAATTTTCAATTACACAAATCTCGGAAATCGGTGCCCCATTTCACCTGAAATTGCTACTTCATGTATGCTGCAGTGCAGCAAACATGGAGTAACAATTTGAATGTTGCACGTGTTTAGAAGCTGATTTATTGCTTTCAAAAGTTTCCATACGTCATCTTCTTCTTCTTCTTGCTTTTCTTGGTTATTAGGTCCCAACTGAAACTATGCGCCTTTCCTCAACTTGAAATTCTTCAAGCCAGTTTTGGAAAATTTGAGACCATTTCAACATTTTTGAAAGCCTTCCTAATTCCATTTAGAAAATTCAATATAGGCTTATATCTTTAAGGCCATCTTAAATCTATTTTGATAATCAATGGAAGTGATCCGTTTTATTATAATCTATGATTATAATTTTACTTAGTTCGGAGTTTGCAGAGTTTGGTTGGAATCCAATATCTTGGATTAAGTTTGACTACGACAATCATAAATTATTGCGATGTCTCACGCTGTGTCCAAAATGGTGGATTAATCAACTTTCATGTACATCGGAGTTTTCTTCGCCAAAAGTTAGTTTGGGTCCTCGCAAATCGGTTCATTTTCAAGTACTCTGCCGGGGGAAACTTGAATTGTTCAGTTTTATCATAATTGTCCTTACACATACAAATAATATATAGGTTATGGTTCTGAAGAGCTCCCCATAAAAATGCCCACAGAATATTTTAAAATCAAACCGATTTAGGAATGTTAGCACCCAAACTATCGTTTGGTGAAGGCAAATCGGATGAACATGAAAGTTGATTAATCCGTCGCTTCAGACACACGGCGCGTGTCTAGCATATTTATATTTATATCAAATTAGCAATGTTAAATCATTTGACATTTTAAATATTTCTGCAAGTTTTGAAACATCTCATGTTAAAAAATCTTCAATTTTGAAAATTTTCATCCCAGATCTTGCAAACTCTTCTAAGTGTGAAAATTGATTAGTAATCAAAAGACTCGGAATCTTATTTATTTCTCAGATCATGATCTTTTCTCTATCGGTGATTCCAAAAAATTGTCAATTACCTTGGTACCCTACGAAAATTCATTTTTTTTTTCATTTATTTCCATACAATCATCTAAGAATTTCCTCATCTGGAGACTGTCTTTCACTCTGGTTTTCTTTTCATTTTGTTCACAATACAATAGGAATTCTGTACACATAACTCTCGAATTTCACCCTAAATTAATTTTTAAAATTTGTAACCAATGTTTTCTCTGGAATTCTCGTCAACATTCTCCACTGAATTCTCATAGAATTTCGTTTAAGTTGCTTTGACATTCTGCAAGGATTTTCATAGGAATACTCCTCGAAATTTATTTTGAATCACTTCTACGAACTCTCTTCAGAACTGCTATTATCGAATGCTCATCAGAATTGCTCGGAACTTTACTCAGAATTATCTTGAAATTCACTTAAGTTCTCCTTTTCATTTCATCAGAATTACATATATCTCCCATAATTATGTTGGAATTCTAGTCAGAATAACACATCACACAGAACACATAACGGGAAGGAGAAAGGATGAAGGTGGGCGTTGAAAACAGGAGAAGGATATGGACAAAGAGGTGATGGAAACGTGGGAAGGAAGTGGTTAGGTTCGCAAAATAGTCCGATCTTTAAGTTTGATACGAGTCAAGTAAGGATGTTCAACTAGGTACCAATAAATACCGGCTAATATCGCCAAATACGGAGCCAGGTAGGACCCAATTAATAAACCCAGTAGCGGAATTCTCAGCCCTAAGACGCCCTAATACGGACTAAAAAGCCATTGCACCCGTTTAGCAAGTATCGGTCGGCAAGCCTCCGACGACCGCTTCAAACCAGGAACATGTTAACAGCAAGACTACCGTTGATCAGTCGATCGGGCCCCGGCGCGACATTCGTCGTGCCAGACGGTCACAACCAACGAGCACCGTCATCCACCAGGAACGTACAGTTCATCAACCGCCGAGAAATCCCACCCGCTGCAGAATCCCGTGATGGTTGGCCAGTACTGAACACACATACTACAGACACCGACACCGTGTGTAGTAGAATAAAATGAAGGAGTTGAAAGTGAAGAATAGGTATTTTTGTGCTTCGGATCAGCACCAACAAACCAGGAGCCGACCTTGAAGCTCTAGGGTTTCGAGCTTGAGTTAGCAAACAAAAGTGGCGAGTGCAGCCCATCCCAGACGATCTCCGTGGCTAGACCAGAGGTCAGGGGAATCCCTTTAAACTAGCCCATGTGGCTAGCCATTAGCAACCCTTGAAATTCCTTGTTATTCAGAAAGTTTCCAATGCTGCAAGAGCGTAGTGGGTGGGATACTTTGTGAGAATGGCAGATATCAATCCCGCAAAAACGCAGTTTGCCTCAAATTCAGTCGGTACAAAACAATAAACAACACATCAAGATAGGTGATCGCAAATAATGATTTGAATTATCTTCAGAATATTATAAGATTAGCTTGCTATCATAACCACCTTGGGTGTTTCAGAATTCATTTTAAGATTAAATCCCAATTTATGGAGTATTATAATTGAAACTAACTTGGAAATCACTCCAAAACTTCCTTAGCAATATTCCTTAGATTCACCAAGAATTTGTTATTCCTCAGATTTCGCTTGAAGTTGTCCTCATAATCACTTTTGAAGTCTTAAGAATTAAAACGGAATTCAACTGAGAACAACTTTTTGATAAATTTATGTAGAAATTCTATCGATAGAATTATGATTATATTCACCCTTAAATTGCTTAGGACTTTTCACTGTATCTCTAAAGTCTGCATGATTGCACCTAATTCAAAATCTAAAAAACAATTCAAGTTAAAAGTAGACAAATGGTAAGTTCCAAATTCACTATTGTCGTCGTCGTATTTAGTCGCCTTTGGCAGTACTATTTAAAATTAACCATCAACCACAGAAACTATATGAATTACCACGTATCTCTGTTGTACATTACATACCAAGCAAAAACTTAAACTCTGCTCGGTGGTTTCGTAATCACAAATATATTGAAATTCAATCGGTAATTTATTCGTGTTAATTATAATGTCGCGTATCTAATACAAGCTGTGATGTTGTCGGTGTTTTTAGAAAAGAAACCGTTGGTGTTTATGATGTGATGATTCGAAGAGCTCGATGGCTAGGTGGATGGAAGGCTAGTTTTTTTTTTCGTTTTTGCTCACTGAGCAAAAAATCATGGAACGAAACACACGCTCCATCTCATTACTTGTTGCGCAGTTGACGGTTGTCAAGAAGGCCATAGTCGTAGTTGCATATGATCTGTTGTGATTCGAAGAGGTCGATGGCCCTGGAGGGATTGTTTCCTCCTTTTGCTGGTCGTAGTTGCTTTTTGGTTATTTCAGGGTCTTCGCTTGGGTCTGGAATTCATCCGGTGCCCCTTCTTTCTACATTGGAAGCATTCATCCTTATTCCCGTCATAAAATATATTCTCCTTCCGATTGATGAAATGCAGCAAGGAGGGAATCTCCTTTTGACGTCCATATATATACCTCGTACGTCCCGATCTCCTTTTCGTGGTACGCTTTGGAATGTAGGATCTACCATAATATTTATACCGGAAAGTGATCTCACGGTTCGAAAGTTATAAATAGCGGGACCTTTCATTTATACTAGATTCTTTGCGACGAAGGCAAGAATGACAACTGTATCAAAATCGAATACTTCATCAATTCTCAACAGTGATGGAGTAATACGACATGCACTAAACTAAGGACACGGGATATACACACTGGTCGAAGTGGTTTATGTCCCGAACAGAGGAAAAAATACACCTCGCACACCTGAGTACATGTTGAGGCCTAACTCCGCAGGGAATTTCTCCTGACACACTTCACTTTCCTGTACTGTCGCAGCACCAACGATTATTGGTAAATCTTACCTTCACTGCCTTTCCATTAGCATAATGCAAAATCAATTGCTCGGAGTTATGCATTAGGGCATAATGCATACTTGTTTCAGATTTGAACTTGATGAAGATTGCATTCTCCCCCACAATCCGGTACGTAGCATCCATGTCAACGGGATTTTCATCCAGTGATTTAACGAAATCGGCAATCTCGGCAATCATGGTGGGTTTTACACTTCGATTTGGATAGGCAAAATAAAGGGTGTACTTTATTTCTACCATATCGAAATTTGTGCTTCCAATGGTGGCGACAAAGGCACTGACCGAGCTGCTGTTATCGACACCATGAAAAGCAACTGCTGTTGCTCTGACAGCTGAGAGCTTAAGCATTTTAAAATATATGTGCTTCAAGATCGTTTCCTAGTCCCTGAATGAAGATAACAATCAATATAACACAAAATCATAGCACCGGTTTTTATAACATTTTTTGACTTACTGTATTAAATTTTATGTTTTACTAAAATTGACAATTTTATGTATACAACCTCTTAAAATGTTCGTCGTGGTTTGAAAACAAACTCCAATAAAAACCCATAGGATGGGGAAATCGATAGATCCAATAACGTCATTTTATTGATCAACATAGAAAATTAAGAGCAATGGTCCAAGATCCTAGAATCATTAAAGACCTTCCCTTCTTTGAAAAAAATATCCATGCAACGCCAGTAGAAGATGTTTCCAAAACACCGCATGGCAAATTACGCATGGCATAACTTATAAACAGCACATCCGCCCACACAGACTTAGTACCATCCACATTAAATAACTAATAATAATACTGATAAATTGGGTCGATATGTTTGTTCAAAACGATGACCCACACCGTCGCCGTCATTATAATGGGTGCTAACCGGCCAG